AAAAGATTGATGGTCATGAGATAAAACTAAGTGTATGATGATCGATGATCTTATCTATAAACTTTCACTCAAGTCACAGTAAAAAGTTAGAAAACAAATCAAAACAAAAACATCACTCTACCCATAACCCAAGTTAAGAAATGTTGCTGTTAAATGTCCTCAAGTCAGTTCCGACTCATAGTGACCCTATTACGCATAACAGAAGGATACAGTGCCCAGTCCTCCTCACAATTTAATAATAATAATAATAATAATGGACAGAAAATCAGAGGAAAGTTTTAAAATACTCCCATCTTGTGGCCATTTGGAAATATAACAGCCTAAATATGACAGGAAACCCTGTACAGGGTCGCTATGGGTCGGACCCGACTCGATGGCACTTAACAACAACAACCTACCTGTCTTGGTTCATTTGTCTCTCTGCTGGAGGTAGCTTTCAACAAAGAAAAATCACCTGGATGTGGAAAGACCTAAAACCATCCCATTAGAAACGGAAAATTCCATCTACTGCACCTGGATTTCATCTGATGACATTATAGCCACACAATGCAGCTCTAAAACCAGAGGCCACTTGCAGCACCATCTCAGTGGTGCTGATGGAGATCCAGTCTCCCTACCCCATCATAGGACCCAAAAGTCATGTTCATTTTGCGTATTGTCCCTTCTCTTCTGCCAGCGGGATAAAGCACTGGACTGCACGGTCTGTTTGAACCACAAGGTCAGCAGTTCAAATTTACCAGCTACTCCTTGGAAATCCTATACAGGGTCACTGTGAGTCAGAACTGACTGGATAGCACTTAACAATTCCACCAACAAGGATGTAAGATCAATCAGTAATTGTCAGTCATCTGGAAGGCTTAGAGATTTTGTCATAATTTAATTGATCATACTATTTTATCCTCATTCACATCTGTGCACATATTCACTCATTCTACTTAGTGTTTTCTAAGGGCAAGGAGCCGTGTGGTGCGATGATTACCCAATGAGCTGCTGACTCTGGGAGAAAAGACTTGGCATTTGCTTCCATAAAATTCAAACCAAACCAAAGCCATAGTCATCGAGTCCATTCCAGCACACAGTGACCTAACAGAACACAGTAGAACTGCCCCTTGGGGTTTCCAAGGTTCTCCATCTTTGTGGAAACAGACTACCATATCTGTCTCCCCCAGAGCAGCTGGTGAGTTCAAACCAGTGAACGTAGTTATCAGCCAAGTGCTTTGACCGCTGCACCATGACTCCTAAATAACATAAAATAGGTAGACAGATAGATAATTTGGAGCCCTGGTATGGTGCTATGGGTTATTGCGCTGGACTACAAGGTTGGTTTGAATTGCAAGGTTGGTGGTTCAAGCTCACCAGCTGCTCCTCGGGAACCCTATATAGGGTCGCTATGGGTTGGAACCAACTCAATGGCACTTAACAACAGCAACAAAGATTTTGTTTTTAATTTAATTTGTTTTTAAAAAACATTTAAGTTTTTAGTGAGGTAAGAGAAGTAAGTTGGAGAAACAATAACAATTCTGGTTATCTGGTTAAAATGGAATATATATGTTAATTTTATGTCAAGGAGTCTCGGTGTGGGAGCGCTGTAGGATAAGCACTGGACCACAAGGATGTTTTGAATCACAAGGTGGGGGATTCAAACTCATCAGATGCTCCTCAGATACCCTATACAGGGTCACTGTTAGTCAGAAATGACTCGAAGGCACTTAACTACAATATGTCAAAGGTATGACATGGGGACAAGGGGCAAATATACTAAGACTCTGGACCTAGCAGTATTCCTTAATTCCTTGGCATGAAGTTATGCTTGTCAGATTGGTTCTAAAGAAAGTTCACATTTTGGAATCTGTTAATTATTCTCTCACTAATCTGCCCAAGCACTTGTGAGTTAGCTACTTACTAATAAGGCCGGCTAACTTTAATACTTGCTTCATGAGTGGAGGGAAAATGCCAGCTAGGGGGCTGCATCATTGAGTTCATTGTAAAGGTGAGATGAAGACTCTCTTGATCACCATTTTACTGCTCTATCTGAGGGAGAAAATAAGTGTATCGAGGACTCCATTATTCAGCTAAATCAGTAAAGCCTTAGCAGTCTTGACCTTGACTGCTTGCAGGAATCACTTAGGGAGTTGTAAACAACAGTGACGTCTGGGTCCCACCCCCAGAGATTCTGTCGTAATTGGTCTGGGATGCAGCCTGGACACAGGGATTTTTAAAGCTCCCCAGGGGATTTTAATGTGCAGGCCAGGTTGAAACTCACTCTACTCCAACACTCCGATATACATTTTGCCCAGGTTAATATGACTTGTTTGAAATCACCATTGCTTACTAACATAATCCTCAAATAATCTAATCTTACACTAATGGCTTTTAGGAAAAAGGTACCTGAGCTGGTTTCCTTCTCCCCAGAAACCAACACAAACTCCAAGCTCAAGGAATGTTTAACTATTTTGTTAATATTTATCCCAAACTGAGGCTTTCAGTAAACTCAATCAGTTCGAACTCATAAGGACCCTTATAGGGTTTCTGAGGAGCAGCTGTTGGATGGGTTTAAACTGCCGACCTGTGGTTCACAGTCCAGAGCTAATCCTCTATAGTCTAAAGTTTAATTTCTCCTTCCTGTCCTGGCATGGCATAGTGGTTACGAGTCAGGCTGCTAACCTCAAGGTCAGCAGTTCAAAACTACCAGCGGTTCTGTGGGAGAAAGATGAGGCTTTCTGCTCCTGTAAAGATTTACAGCCTCAGAAACCCTATGCAGGGTTGCTATGAGTCGGAACCAACTCCACGGCACATCACCACCACCATCACCATCCTGGCATGGCATTGTAGGATACGCAGTGGACTGAGAATGCTATACAGGGTCTCAGTGAGTTAAAACTGACTCAATGGCACTTAAGAACAACAGCATCTACCTAATTATTTAATTCCTTGCAAAATCTCATTTTCTTGATCTTCAAAAGATTTGTCTAATTGTTTAAACTATATATAACCAAAAGTCAAAAACAAACAAATTGTCATCAAGTCAATTCCAACTCATAGTTAACCTATAGGACAGAGTGAAGTGCCCATAGCATTTCCAAGGCTGTGGTGTTATAAAAGCAGATGGCCACAGCTTTCTCCCACAAAACAGCTGGTAGATTTGAACCACTGACCTTTTGGCTAGCATTCAAGCACTTAACCATTGTGTCACTGAGCTCTTTGTTTGAATTGTAAGTAAGGTTAAAGATATTCAGTTAGGATATGTTATAATAAATGTAATTTGGGCCATATCCTGTCACACAAAACCAGGGCTTTCAACCAGTTCGAATCAGTTCAGTCATGACTGACAAATGGAAACCAATACAGCCCCAAATGTGCAAAATATGGGTGCCTAGAATGATAACCAGAATGGGTATCATTAATAAATTATAAAGGAAAAAATGACAGATTGCAGTCCCAAAATAGGAGACTAGAAAGAATCGTAATGACCTCTTTCAGGAGCCAGATGCAGGAGATGCGATTATTACCAGGGTTGTGGAAAGTGACATCCATTCAAAGTGGCCCAGTCAGCTGCCATCTTTGAGCAGGGCACCATTGTTTCTGACTGCCACTCAAGAGATTTTGTTGCTATGCAACATGCACACAGCCCTTGTTTTCTAAGAGGAAGATTACATTTCTAGCAGGACATTAGCCCATAATATTCCCCATTCTGGTTATAGTTCCAGGCACCTACATTTTGCAAGTCATGGTCTGTCTTGGTTTTGCTTCATCAGCTCAGTGGCTCACTAGGAAAATGTAGTGGGGAAGAGGGGGCAGGGAGGGAGTACAAGTATCTCACTAGCTGACACTGTCAGAGCAAGTGACACCAAATTTTTTGTGCAAGGTTTCAGCAGGAATTTATTATTTTTTATAAAAATATCTTCATAGTTAGTTATAACAAGAAAAACATTTTTCATAAGCCCAGTTTACATGCATCAGTATACCTACAAGGCTAAAAGTCTATGCTAATTTACCTTTGAACCTTCTAATGTGCTCCCGTCAGAGCGGTCTTTGTTACCCAGCTGCAATGCACTATGAGCATGAGTTGTTGTTTTCTTTGTTGCCAGTCACTGCTTTTGTCAAATTTTCTGGTGTGCTAGCTACATCATTGTGAAAACTGGTATTTGTGAACCTATATCAATAGCTTTTTTGAGAAGTAGTAATTAAAAGAAAGGAAAGAGGAAAATCAAAAAAGGCTTCTGCTCAGTTACTAATAATGCTGTAACTCTGTGTGGAAAGATTTTACAGAACAATTTTCTTGTCAGCATTCATATCATCTAAGAAATAATGCATTTAAGCCATTTACAACTATATATTATCACATATAATATCACATACTTTCTATGATTAAAATTGATAATAACCGTGACTAAGGATTCTGTGTGATCTGGTGCAGGAGAAGGTTCGTGGTCAGGGGGTGACACTATGAGTTACCTCACTGAGTGATACTAACCCTAGTGATGCTGGTTCAACCACAACTGAACCAGAAACTAGGTTGAAGCCTTGAACAAAACCCGTCTAATTTCATTCTCGTTAACCAATGGCTAAAAGGGAGCTCTAGGTCTTCACTATATGATTCTTCACTAGACTAACCCTAGGTATGGAGGCCCTGGGTGACACACAGGATTAAGTGCTAGGCTACTATACAAGAAGTTGTCGGTTTGAACCCACCCAGAGACTCTTAGAAGACAGCTTTGGTGATGTGCTTCTGAAAGGTCGCGGCCTTAAAAACACCATACAGCAGTTCTACTCTGCACAGATACCGTGGCCATGAGTGAGAATTGGCTCAATGATAACCAACCACAAAACAACCCAGGTATAAGCATTCCTCAAGTGCTGAAGTCAAAATCAGCTTGCAGACAACACACACCAAAGAGGTAAACTTACAGGTGGATCTTTTTTCTTCTTCTTTTAATGAAATAATTGATTCTATAGGAATCAAGAGTTTTAGGTACTGAACTTCGAAAACAAGTACTTACACCTTCTAGGAGGCAAACAGCAGCAGGATTCCCACGAAATGCTTTTGCTGTGAAAGCATCTGCTATGAAAATAGGGAGCTTCATTTTACTTGCAAGCTGTTTCTGCAGGCTCTCAAAATTGCTGGTAGTCTGCTTTCCTTCTACTTGTTAAAAAAAAAAAAAGAAAGAAAGTTAATGTTTTACTTGGTGTACCGAAGCAATTAGCAGTTCCCAGCTACAAAGTCAAGCAATTATCTCTAACACACCCACATTTAAAGATAGGTGATCCTCTAATACTTTTCAGCTTCTAAATTGAATTTATTTCAAAATACTGAAAAACAGAATACTTTTTCAATTTTGTATTGCGTTTCCATAGTGTACCTGTAACTTAACATGATCATATCCTTTCTTAGAGTAGCCAAAACTAGCTTAGGCAATGGTATTAATGAAGTGCATGAAAAGTCCTAGGAAAGCTATAGGTAAGCTGATACTTTCCCAATAATGTATAATTTAAAATTATTATAATTTATAAGTATAATACATACTATAACTTTTCTAATTATAGAAATGCTTAATATAAAAAGTTTGGAAAATAAAAGAGAAACATAATCACACAAAACAGTAATAACATCATTAATATTTTAGATATATAATTTTTTATCAGAAATTTCCACCTTAAGTGTACAGCATGAGTATTTCCCAAGGGTACAAAAAAATGCTTCAAAATCTGTTGTTAAAAGATTTACAATAGACTCATATATATGCTATAATTTTTTATTTCCACTTTAGATAATATATTTCTAATTTTTCACTCATCAAAGTAGTGTAATGGTCAAGCCCTTTGAATATAAATCTTGATCTGCCTCTCTGATTATTTTTAAATGATACTTTTAATCAGGTAAAAACATCACTAAAAAAGAAAATTATAGATCAGTATCCCTCAAGAATACAAATGCAAAAGTTCTCAACAAAATCTTAGCCAACAGAATCCAACAACATATCAAAAAAATAATACACCATGATCAAGTGGGATTCATACAGGTATGCAGGGATGGTTTAATATAAGAAAAAGAATCAATAATCCACCACATAAATAAAACGAATGAAAAAAATCAAATGATCATATCTATGCAGAAAAGGCATTTGACAAAATCCAATACCCATTCTCCTGATAAAAGCACTAAACAAAATAGGAATATAAGGGAAATTCCTCAACATAATTAAGGGCATATTTTGTAGCACTGTGGGTTAATGCGTCAGACTGCAAAGTCATCTGAACTGCAAAGTCAGTGGTTCAAGCTCACCAGCTGCTCCTCGGAAACCCTGTATAGAGACGCTATGGGTTGGAACCGACTCGACGGCACTTCACGACAACAACAACAGCAAAATACAAAACCAACAGCCAACATCACTCTCAATAGAGAGAAACTGAAACCATTTCCTTTGTGAAAAGCAACCAGACAAGGATGTTCTGTATCATCACTCCTATTCAATATTGTGCTGGAAGTCTTAGCCACAGCTATAAGACAAGGAAAAGGAAATTAAAGGCATCCAAATTGACAAAGAAGTAAAACTCTCTATTTGCAGATGACATAATCCTATACTTAGAAAATCCCAAAGACTCAGCAAGAAAATTATTGGAACTCATTGAAAGATTCAGCAAAGTGGCATGGTACAAGATCACCATACAACTTTGTGAAGTGGCAACATCGCAGTCAGGAAGGTTTATCCGAGGTACCATTATTGCTCATTGAAAACTTTCCCCAATACCCTGCTGTGACAATTTGAAATATAGTCAGCATTGGCAATTTTTGATAGTCTCCTTGAGACTGAATTGAAGTTCAACATTCAAAAATCAGTTGAATTCCTTTATGCTGATAAGAAGAGTTATGGAAAGGAAATTGGAAAACAATTCCATTTGCAGTTTGTTGTTGTTGTTATGTGCCGTGGGATCAGTTCTGACTCATAGCGACCCTGTACAGCATTTCCGAGGCTGCAAATCTTTACAGAGCAGAAAGCCTCATCTTTCTCCTGTGGAACAGCAGGTAGTTTTGAACTGCGGACCTTGAGGTTTGCAGCCTGATTCATAACCATTTGCAATAGCCAGCCACGAAATGAAATTCATAGGAATAAATTTAACCAGAGAAGCAAAAGACCTATACAAAGAAAACTACAAAACATTGCTTCAAGAAACTAAAAGACACCTACAAAAATGGAAGACTGTATCATGCTCATGAATAGGATGACATATAAATGTGAAAATGTTAACACTACCCAAAGAAATCTATAGATATAATGCAATCCCAATCCAAGTTCCAACAATATTCTTTAAGGACATGGAAAAACTAATCAACTTCGCATGAAAAGGAAACATTCAGGCAGCCAACAAACATGAAGAAATGCTCACAATCACTAGTCATTAGAGAGATGAAATCAACATAACAATGAGATTTCATCTTACCCCAACTTTAATAGCAAAGTTCAAAAAAAAACAGAAAACAACAAATGCTGGCAAAGGTGTGGAGAGTCTAGGACCCGCCTACACTGCTGGTGGAACTGTAAAATGGTGGAACCACTGTGGAAAACAGTATGGCACTTTCTCAGAAGGTTGGAAATAGAAATAACATATGATCCAGCAATCACTCTACTTGGAATATATCCTCAAGAAAGAAGAGCCATAACACAAATAGATACATGCACATCCATGGTCATTGCAGCAATAACAATAAGATGGAGATGGCTTAGACACCCATCAGAAAAGGAATCATTGAACAAACTTTGGTACAGACACATATTGGAATATTATACAGCATTGAAGAATAATGATAAATCTGCAAAACATGGAGGAAATTGGAGGACATTAATTATGCTAGGTGAAAGCAGTCTATCACAAATGAACGAATATTATATGAAACCACTGCTGTAAAAAGTCAATAAAAGGTTTTCTTTCTATGATGGTTACTGGGGGTGGGAGGATAAACACATGCTAACTTGGGTGACGGGAAAGACAGTTAAAAGAAAGGAAGGAAAAGAGAAGAAGGCAGGGGATAAAAATGCAAATTGCTTTCTTTTTTTGGTCTTTTTTTCCCATGTACTGGAAGGGAAATAATGTATATTTATTTTCTCATAAAAAAAATAGCTTATGCATTATTTTTGTTTTAAACTTGAAGGTCAAGTTGTTATGGCTGTATCTTCTGTGTTGCTATGATATATTCAATACAAGACAGTCTGACCTCTTATTTCATCTTAATTTCATTTTCTCTAATAACATGACCTCTGTAATAGTGAATTATGATATTCAGATATGTTTTTGAAGACTGCCTTGCATAATACAGTTTTAAAAATTAATTTTTTTTAAAAAAAAAAAAGAAAGAAATGATGAAATAAAAGAGCTGAACAGAAAATTTCAAAGGAGTCCAAAAATGTATTCCACTATCTCTCTTTGAAGTCCTGATGTGGTGCTGCGGGATAGTTCACTGGACCACAAGGTCAGTTTGAGCCTCAAGGTCGGCAGTTCAAACCCACCAGCTACTCTTCAGAAACCCTATACAGGCTCACTATGAGTTGGAACCGATTTGACAGGACTTAACAACAACAACAATTGTTCCATTGTCAAAGGACTATGTTATAACATCATTTGAAATAATTGTTTTCTCTTGTGTTAAATGTTACAATTTTGCAATGAAATTTAGTTCATTTAAGAAAACAAAAACAACTCTTTGTCTCTGGCAAATTTCAATTTTGCTCTTAGAGCCTTCAGCTTAGTAGATGAAGCCCATCCATATGATTGAGGACAATTCCCTTTACTTCAAGTCAACTGATAGTAGATAGTAAACCCCTCTACAAGAGACTTTTTCTATCATGCCTTGATTAGTGTCTGCTTAAATGACTGGGCCCTACATTCTTGCCAAGTTGATACATAAAAGTAACCATCACAGGCACCAACTAAACCCTGTACCATGAGACCTCAGTCTCCTGATCTGCATCAAAAGGGACTATGGAAACTGCATCCTTTGTGAGGAAGGGAGTAAGTTGTGTCCAAGTGCAGAGTCAGAGCAGAGCAGCAAGAGCCCAATTGGCCTCTGACTTGTCTTAGTTGAGGTACCTTGGGTTCTCTTCTGGAGCAACATAGGAAGAAGGAGACTCAGGAGGAAGAGGAGGATATGGAAGGCTCATTGCCTTCATGAACAACTACCTTCTTGGTCATGAGACCAGGAGCACTGGATGGTGCCCATCTACCATAACTGAACATTTTGATTAAAGTTTCAAAGATTCCTGACCAAAAGAGGGAAAATAAACAGAACAGAATTTAAAATTCTCATGGAATCCAGATTATCTGGAGCCATGGAGACTGGGTGAGCCCTGAAACGATTACTCTGAGATCATCTTTAAACCTTAAATCAAAATTACCCCCTGAAGTCTTCTCAGAACTAAACATCAGTTGAACTTAGCTTGTAAAGAATGACTGCCTTGAGCGATGTGCTCTTTGGGATGGAACTGACAGCAGCCACTGGGAAGATTAGGTAGGAGCCTACGGGACAGTGAGTTTCTGTTGGTGAGAATGGCTGCACAATTCGAAAAACATATTCCATGCCACGAAATGGGACATGCAGAATCGGCTCAATAGCTGTGTGTCCTGCTGTGTATATGCTCAACAAGAAAAAACATTTTTTAAAATGATAATTCCTAAAAGTAAACCCCCTGGATCAAAATGTATAGATATTTTACCTTATTAAAAAAACTAAAGAAAACCCACGGTCATCAACTCAATTCCATCTTATAGAGACCCTATAGGCGGTTCAACCTCACCAGTCGCTGCTCAGAAACCCTATACAGGGTTACTACGGGTTGGAACTGACTTGATGGCACTTAACAACAAAAACAACAACACAATAGGACAAAGTAGAACCGTTCCACAGTCCCAGGGCTACTGAGACTGTAAATCAGATTGTCACATCTTTCTCCCACAGAGCAGCTGGTGCTTTTGAACCATCAACCTTTCAGTTAGCAGCCAAGCGCTTTCACCACTGTGTCACCAGGGCTCCTGTATTTTACCTTACTTCTTGTTGTTGTTAAATGTCAGTCGTTGAGTCCATTGCAACCTT